AGGGCTCCACAGTGTTGGGGACTGAGCCTAAGCCCAGCTCCCTGAGATGATGATACTGAGGTGCGAGAAAGTGGGTATCAAGGGGGTCACTGAGGATGGAGCCCTCACAGTGAGAACAGAGCCAGGATCCCCCCCTCCTGCCATGGCAAACACAGGAGGTGGCTATCTGCAGGGCAGGAGGGCGCCCTCCCTGCCTTTCCAGGAACAAAGCAGCCACTGCTCAGGGGAACCTGACCTGACACGCAGCCTTCACAGCTCTGAGCAACAGGCACTGAGCTAATCCAGACGAGAGGCTGGTCACAGATGCACGCAACTTGGCTGGATCCAAGCCTGCAGACAACACCAGCCAGAGTAGCTGAGCCTCTGCTGCCAGGAGACATTCTGGGACACCCATTTGTGCCGAGTTCTTGAACTGACAATGTTCGAGCTTGCTGCCTGTCGTTCTGCACTGACATCTCCCATCTTGCCTTTTCTGTATACCCTCACTTACCCTCAGGCCTCACTGGGAGGTGTCCACAGCTGAGCCTCCTCACCCGGGAACCCTAGCGTCACTTTCTTCAGGGAGAAAAGCTGTGACCCTGAAAGCTAGGGCCTGGTGTCACTATGAGTGGAACCAAGGCCTCAGACCACGTGCTTTCAGCCCTAGCCCTTGTTTTATGCTCCCAGGCTCCTGTCTGCCACCCTCCTCTGGCTTCCTGGTACCAATGAATGGGGTATCCAAGTGCCCTGGGCATCTTCCCTGGTGCCCGCCCCTCCTCGAAGCACACAAAAGCAGCCTCCGGCAGCTGCCCAGCTCCACACTGCCCTGACAGTGGGACAAGCTGAACTGTGGTCCAGGCCAGGGGCCTGGGGCCTGAGATTCTAGCCAAGGAAGCGTGAGGCAGGAGGGCTGCAAGCTTGAGTCCCACTTAGGCAACTTGGCAGCTTCAAAGAGATTCTTTTGTCTCAAAATATGAAAATAAAGAGGGGCTGGAGAAGAGGCTCATGGTTGCAGCCCTGGGTTTAAATCCCCAGTACGGCAAAAAACAAACCAAAAATGAGTCCCACCCACCAGACTGGTTAGATGGAACAGACTGGGGAGCAGTGAATGCTGCTTCTCTTTTCCAGGATCAGACCCAGCTCTGGAGACTCAGGCAGGCCCCAGACCCCAGACTGCCCCGAGACATCCTGGGAGAGTCCTAAGCCAGGAGAGGACCTGTGCTTCCTGCTGGAGCCAAGCCTGCCTCTGTGCCGGGCCAGCCACACATGACGCAGGTCTGTGTCTCTGCTGCAACACCTGCAGATGTCCTTGACTCTGGGCCCAGCTCCGGCTGCACAATGCAGCACCCAGAAAGGCACACACAAGGACCAGCCCCAAGGTGTGGGCAAAGGCTCACGGAAGGCCAAAATCCTGCAGAAACTAAGTCCCATCAAGGCGGAATTAAAGGTGGGGCTACTGGGAAGCAACTACGCCACACCCAAGGGCTGCACTCCTCTGAGTGGAGCTGTGCCTTCCAACAGCTGAGAGGCCTCCTCCAGCCCCTTAGGACATGGCAGCCCTCACCAGACACCTTTGGCACCTTCCTCTTGAACTTTCCGTCTGCAGAGCATGGGGGCAAATGTACACCTTAGGAAAGGATCTGGCTGGTTACAGCAGCACAAGCACACTAAGGCGGTGCCCGCCAGAGGGCACCACCATGATGGCTGTGTGGAGGTGGGTCAGCCCCTCCGCAGTGCACAGTGTGAGCCTGCACTCTCCCTCACTCTGAGTCCCTCTACCTGGCTTAATCCAAGGAAGGAGCTCAGGCCCAGTCAGGCTCACTGGAGTGAGGGGCTCCAGCCCATGTCCACCTCCTGACCCTTGCACAGTGTCCACCCTGGGGATGGAGGACAAACCAACTCCTGGGCCTTTACTGAATCTGCCACTCTGCAGAAGCAAGAGCCTGGGCCATTTTCAGACGCTGTGTTTGCTGAGTACCCAGGGACCCTTCATGAGGACCCACAGAGGCCACCAGGTAGCTACAAACAGCATAGATCTTGACCCTCACTTGTATCTGTCTCCTTCAGGCAGTGCAAGCTCGGGGTCGAACCCTCCCTCCATGCTACATACAGGCAAGTGTGCTGACCGTCGAGGGTATTTCTCCAAAAGCTGGCAACACAGGAATCAGGCCTCCCCCTGTTCCAAGATTGACTATGCCAAGACAAGAGATCCTCAGGGACTCTCAACCACCAATAAACCCAGAAGCCGCCAGTCACTGCCCCAAATCCAGGTCACGAGGGTTCCAGCAGAGCCTCCACCAGACCAAGACTGCCTAGGGAGAAGGGTCACCTCCTGGAGCAGGACTAAGTGACAACTTCAATGCTTCCAAAGCTGGCCCTGTCCTTCGTTCAAGGGCCAGTCTGAGGTAGGGCAGGGAAAATAAGAAGATGAGGGAATCCTCATTTTCAAACTGGGCTTTAAGATTTCGAATTGCGAACACAAAGTTCTCCTGCGTACACCCAGCTGTTGGGAGTTGCCACTGAAGCTGGAATTGAACATGAGTGCAAGGCTACAGCATAGCTGATCTGAGAACAAAGAGATGCCTCAAGGAAAGGTCACAGCTGAGGACACCTGGCTCCAACCCCAAAGAAAAAGATAAGAGACTTGTGGAGGCATTCACTCCTGTAGTGAAAGTCAACCTGGAGTCCTTCTCTTAAGATAGCTCTCCTGAATTAATATAAGATAGCTCTCCTAAATTAACGTCGTCTGTTACTTGGAAAAATCCTGGAACTACTCCCAAGGTCCTGCTCAGTTTCCTGCATTTTCCTTCCTTTCCTTCCTAATTCCTTCTTTGTGTGAAACCTAAATAAATGTGGGCCACCCAGAGACATTCCTCGTCCGAGCCCCCAGAGTCTCAGACTCTGTTAGAGGGTTTTGATCCTCCCGGAGCTTTAAAATCATATCACTTGTCTCATTTAAGCCTTCGCCATACACTTGTTTGGGAGACTGGGGATCTTGGCCAGATCCCCAGCAGATGGCTTTCCCAGAAAGAAGGCTTTTTCCCTCTTCCAGCACTCACACCCCAAATCCCTTGAAGACACTCTGGACACCTAAACTAGCTTGGCTGATTAGGTAAAGGGAGGGAACCTGACCTTAAAACAGAAAGACAGATTCAAAAGCTTCAAAGAATGTTTTTGAGGAAAATAGACCCACTCTTCAAAAACGCACTGCACTGGGCCCAGTGACTTCACTGGTAAAATGAGCCATTACCTTTCTGCCTGCAGGTGTGGCAGCCCTTTTCTCCAGTACACCAGGCCCGAGCTCTCTATAAATCAAATCCCAGGTTTCCATCCCCAGAATATATAAACATCCCAGCCTCCAGACACTAACAGCCCCATGCTCGGGGCCGCACTGTGTTCTCTTAGTGCTTACTCTAACTCCTGCCTCGTGCACCCTTGTATGCCTCTCCAGGACGCAATCTGAAAGCTCCCTCTGGAGGAGAGGGGGTCAGCGACCCTGCAGCAGCCATGGCTGCCAGCCCCCAGCTCCACTATGGGAAGCGCCCAGACCCCGCCCACCCCAGGGAAGTCTCATTTCCCTGCTCCATTACTAACTCTGCCTGATAACCTTGCTATGCACTTCATTGACCATGCTGAAATGCTTTTTTGCAGCAAGTCTAGAAGCTACTGGAGGCAAGCTGAGGTCGCCATCTCTTTTCAGCCCTGTCCAATGACCACTCTTGGGCTACAACAGACCCTGAATACAAGCTGGGATTTAACTTATGAAATAAAACTGAGACAGAAAAAACAATTTTCATTCCACTTGTTTTCTGAGACAGGGCATCATTATGTATCTGGGCCAGTTTTGAACTCACTATGTAGCACAGGCTGGCCTCCAACTTGCAGCAATTCTCCTGCCTCAGCCTACTGAGTGCTGGGTTTACAGGTGTGTGCCACCATCCCCGGCTCTCTCATTCCCCCCATTAGGTTGTGTTCCCCAAAGCTAAGTCCAGGTTCAGCACAGCAGAGAGGCCCTGATAGATCATCACCAAACTGCTGCCTTTCTGTGCCCTCCCAGCTCAGCAGCCAGCAGCACCCGGAAGAGGATACCGTGCAGTCACACATACCATCTTCCTATCACCAGACTCGCCAATGCCAGGCACCCCTGCAGCCCACAGAACGGGAAGTGCATGCAGACAATGCTGGTGCTACCTCACCCTCCCGTGCTGCTCAGCTGCTGTATGCCCAAGGAATACCAAAGAAGCTGGTGCAGTGGCACACACCTGTAATCCCAGAACTCTGGGAGGCTGAGGCAGGAAAACCACAAACTCCAATTCAGCCTAGACAGCTTAACAAGATCCTATCTCGAAATTATAAAAAAACTGGGGACGTATCTCAGTATTACAAATCATTAACAATCATAAAGACATGTGACTGACTTGATAAATAAATAAAAAGTACAGTGAATGATACGCTCTTTAAAGGCAGGAACTGCTGCCTTTGTCGGCCTCACAACCCTAAGAAACTCACTCTGCACCCAAACACTGTTCCCTCACAGCTGTGCAAAAAATGGGTGCACAACTACACATGCACACAGACACGGATGAACACATACTTGCACATGCACACACACTCCCTCTCTCAACTCCACAAGCCCTTCTCGAAAAATAGTTTCCTTTACAGACATGGCACAAAGTGACTACTGTGGGCCTGAGACAGGGTTCACAGACTGAGTCCCTGCCTGAACACACCAGGAAAGAGTGCCGAAATGCCCAGCTCCATCCACCTGAGCTGGATTGTGCACCGGACCATAGCAGGGCAGACGGTGGCAATGGCACCCCGAAACCCATCTCCAGCCTGCCACTCCCACAGCCCTGCTCTTTCACGCTGGCAGATCCCACAAAGGACACGCTCCATGCCAGTTTCCATACCAAAATGCAATCCTGCCACCTACAAGTCCTCCCAGTATAGGTGACAGGTGATTACACTCAAAATCTTTCCTAACACAGGACGCACATACAGCTCACATGGATCACAATTACCTTTCACAAGCAGCTTGTCTCTCACAGACACCCTCCGTGTGGAGTCCGACGAGGTGGCTGCCGTCCGGGACCCTTTGAGACCGTCATCCCGCTTCAGTTTGCTGGCCAGTGTTAGCATTACTGCCACTTTCTGCTGAAAGACAGGGTGAGGGTGGGGTGAGGTGCTGAGCCCACAGGCTTTGTTCCCCTCTGAAACCCATCACAGATGAAGTTTGCCCACGCGGGTAAGACTGGATTCCTTCATCAGAAGCACAGCTAAGTTCTGTGCCATGCTCTGGAAGTCTAAGCTTTATGCATGAATTAAAACGTGCAGTAACGGAGTCTCACACTGACCATTACCTGGACACCCGAGCAGTGCCAGGCCCTGGGTGTGAGTCAAGTACGCAGTCTTGGAATGGCCTGGATCATGCTCAAAGGTGGCTTTGGAAGGCACCCGGGTTATGGGCAACTCAGTTGTGGACAGCAGCAGAGGAGGGGCCTGCTAGAAGAGGTGCTGCTCAGGGCGTGGCCTGGGAGGGCTTCTTTCCCTGCCTAGCTCCTCCCTTCCCTCTCCATTCCCTAAGTTAGATAGTTCTTTCTCTATGACCTCCAGCAGACACTCCTACTTGGGGGCAAAATAAACCTCCCCTTCTGGAAGCCGCAGGTGCCAGGCCCTGTGTCTCAGCCACAAGGAAAGTAACTGAGGCTGGGGCCTCCACAGCTTCTCCGCCAGCAGGGCCCACTGTCCATTGAGTAGGTTGCCTATCCTCCAGGCTAGAGCCACCCATCAGGAAGGGCAGCGCCGGCTCCAGGCTCCAGGCCAAGAGGGCCACCAGTGCCCCACTTTCCTTCAGCACTGTGCTTTGGCTTCCTTTCACAAAGGTGTGGGCAGAACCTTTGCCCCTGCGATGCCTATTTTATTTACATTTTTGGCAACAGCAACATCAAGACTAAATTGTAATTAATGCCCGAACTCCATTCTCTGCAGTGGGGCTTCTGGCCCACACAAGTGCAGGCAAGGACAGAAAAGACCAAACAAGGCACAAACACCTTTCCACTGAGACTCGCCCCCAGGATCAAGACCCTCCACCTTGTCACCACAAGGGAGCTGATGTGTCACTGTCACCAGGGCCACCGTTCATGGGGGTGCTGCTGCTTCCCAAGGATACAAACATCCTCAATAAACTGCCTTCTGTTTCTGACATCAAATCCCACTAACCTCAGGCTCCTGCTTTGTTCTAGAACCCTTTTTGAGTGACAACAAAAAAACTGGTCACCAGCATTTCCCTAATTTCCTTTCTTATTTTCACACCATTTCCTTCAGCACCATTCTGGTATTTTCAGTAGAAAATGACCTGAACTTCCCAGCTGCAGCCTGATTTAAGCACAGACTTGTGGTTTGAGGCAAAGATCCCCAAAGTTAAAATGTAAGAATACACTTCTCTTCATTGGTATCTTAGACCATTTTTAACCTGATACCTTACACGCTTCTCGCAGCAGCCTCTGTGTAACCCCTAAAAACTGTGAGGTTGGGCTGGGGGTTTAGCTCAGTAGCATTAAGTGCCTGCTTGGCAAACGTGAAGTCATGAGTTCGATCCCTGGTATTAAAAAAAAAAACAAAAAAACTATGAGGTTTGTTTTCTATCCTTTCTAGCACAAGAACAGTACACTTAATGTTCTCTTCTGAACGGTCTGCTGCCGAACTAAGGACTCGGACACACGCATACCCTGGTCTCCTTAGCAAGCACCTGTCCACATGCTCTAAAGGACCGCTGTTAGCACTCAGAACTGCAAACCTGGGACAGCCTGCTTCCCCTCGCCCACCATTTCACCATGTGGAACCCAGATAATGGGCCACCAAGACTGCTAGGAGCAGTCATCACAGAAACATTAGTTTCCCCTGGGGCACAGACCCAGAGTGTGGTCAGTCAGGTAGAAATCAAGGTCACATGTTTTCAATGTGTGCCTCCATTATATCTCAAATACAGTTCACAAAAATGTGAGGAAAAAACCCAAACCTGATCCTAGTTCCTTCAGTTCCACTCCTCCACGCCTCTTCTTTAGGGGGACCCGCCAGAGCTGAGCCTCCAAATGTGAGCGCACACACCCGGGCTTCACCCAGGGCCTAGGGACTTCCTTCAGCTGGTGCAGCCATTTCACAAGGGAAAGAGGGACACCAATGGGTGGAGGCTCTGGTCCCCAAGCTACCAAGCAGCTTCCCATCTAGAGCTGAGCTCTCTGCCTCTGCCTCTACCTGGGAAGATGTGTCAGGAAACTCTGCATCACAAGTCAGTGCCTGACCCCGGCCACATCCACTCCCACAAGCCCAGACTACAGCACATTGATCCTGCTATCTGTGAGTGAGGGTCACCTGACATAAGCCAACAGGGAGCCACCCACTGGCTCCATTCAGAGACAACCAAGTATGCATTGTCCAGCTACCTTCAGTGGTGCAGACTGGGAGAAAAGCAAAACTCAAAGCACAGAGAGTGGAAGAATTACAAAGAGCCCTGAGGAAAAGCCAGACCTGAGCACGGGTGTGCTCTGGCTCCTGAAGACGGGCACATCTGGAGCCACTTGCTCACAGGAAGAGGCACCACTGAGCCACTTCCGCCGTGCTGTGAGCTTTAGCTGTGCCCACAGCTTTTATACCACACTGGCTTCCTCTCTGTGCGCAGAGAATGAGCCTCTATAATCAACCCCCCAGAGGAGGTCAGATTCCTGGCTTTATCTTCAGCAAGTCTGTGGCCCTCAAGAGAACACGTTTGGCTGAGAGACTGGACAAGGCAGGAAGGAAAATAACACTGGTGTGTGGAAAGCTTACATATCTTAAGAAATATGTGAATATGGTGACCACCTCTGACTCTATCTGCATCACTATCACACGCCACTTCAGGGATAAACCACAGCCTAATTTGGAAACGTTTCCTTTAGCAGCAGAATCAAATCTATACAAAGAGTTTCAAACAAAAATTTTCAACTTGTGGAGAGGTCAGCTGACCACCTGCAGCTGCTTCAACATTCCCTCCCACTTCAATATTCACTTTTTGAGGATCTAGCTTAAAACTAAACTTCCCCTTTCCCACAAGTGACACTGACTGTGACAGCATTTCAGAGACCTTTCAGCCACAGCAAACAGTACACCCAGGCACTAATTTCTACAAGTTGCAACTGACCCAGTTAAGTTCCTCCTCTGGGTGGACCTGGTTTCAGAGTGTCCCAAGGAGAAGATTCACCAGCATTATTCACCAGTCTCATCAAGTGATGCTTGCTCCGAATTCTGGCCTGCAGTGGTGAAATCAGGCCATGTCATTAGTGCAGGGGCACTGGAGGCCAGCCAGCTCAGGGTGAGGGCCACTCCTCTCCTCCCCATAGACCAAGCACAAACGACAGAACTGCAGAAGACCAGGGGGCATCAGCCCCAAGCCCAAGGGCCCAGATCAGTCCACACCCACGGATCCTATAGAATGGCAGTCAGGGGCCTCCAGCCTGCCAGTCTAGCTGACTGCCCACTTGAGTACAGCCCGTATTATTTTCAGCAGTCAATCTGCTTCCCCCTCTGTCTGAATGGCAGGCATGGAGTGGAGGTCCCTAAGCCCTACATTCCACACGGGTGCCCATGCCTCTGAGTCTCTTCCCTCCTCTACACCTCTTTGCCCATCCAGGAAGCCGTGCGCCTCGGTCATTTCTGGAAGCTTCTACTCAATATGACAGCCGGGCCCGGGGCGCCCTCCCTTGGAGCCCCACCTGGCCCTACCCCGTTCAGACGGGCAGATCCCACTTGGCGTGCGCCGTGCCCTCCTCAGGCCGCTCCGGCTTGCCCGACCCCGCTCCGGGCCAGAGGGGCGCGACGCCGGGCGGGCCCGACCCGGCCTGCACCGCGGAAAAGCTGAGCAGGGCAGGCCGCGCCCCGGACCGCGCGGAGCGGGCGCCGCGCTCTTCGCCCCAGCGGAACCGCAGTCCGGGCCGGCAGTGACCTTGCGGGGCCTGGCCGGCCGCGGCCGCGGGCGCGGTTCAGCTCGGTCCGGCACGGGATCCGGCTCCCCACTGCCCCGGCCCGCGAGGCTGCCCTAACCCGGCCTTGCCCACGCGGCTCCTCCCGGCGTCCGGCTCGAGAAACCCGCGGCCTGAGGCAGCCCGAGTACCGGTGCCGAGAACCCCGGCCGCCCTCGTACCCGCCGAGGCCCCCGCCCCTCACCTGGGCACCCCAACACAGCGAGGCGGGCCAGCGCCCAACACCGTGCCCCGCCAGGTGGCGGCGGCGGCGGCGGCGGCGAGACGCGGCCCCTCACAGCCGCACCGGCTCCCGGCCGCGGGACCGGAAGTGACGGGGCGGGGACTCGAACGCTCTCGCCCGCTGCTGCTGCGACCGCTGCGGGCGCTTTAAAAAAAAAATTCAAAACCGTAGAAAACTTTATTGAGAGCCTCGTGCGCAACAGCAACGTGCGGGGGCCCAAGCAGGGCGGAACTTCACTGTGGCTCCGATTGTGTTCATTGGTACAAGGCGCGGCGAGAGGCGGACCCGGAGCCCACGGCCCGTGATGATTGGTTATTGGCAGTGGGGGCGGGGCTTCCTTGGGATTCCGGATGTGAGAGCCGGAGCCCACTGTATCTGCTTAGAGTTCCTTCGTCCATTCATTTCGCGGTGTGCGGAAGGTCGGCTGCCCCCTAACCATTCCAGAAGGGTCGCCTCGCTAGAGCTGACCGCCTCGGCGAGCTAAGCGCTCGGAGTACGAGCACAGTGCTCAAGTGCAAGGAACCAGCGGACCTCTACAGCCTGCAGCGCAGGGTTAGGGCATGAGGTGATCAGATGTGCGGTAGCCACCTGCGCACGGGAGCACCCTCTCCTGCCCGTATCTCTCTTAATTCCTTAAATTTACTTTAGAAATCTGTTTGAAACCGGGCATGGTGGTGCACGCCTGTAATTCCAGCACTCGAGAGGTTGAGGCAGGAGGCTCCCCCTAGTTCAAAGGCAGCCTGGGCTACAAAGTGAGTTCAAGGCCAACCTGACCTGCATAGTGAAGCCCTGTCTCAAAAACACAAAAACAAGGACGTCAGTCAGACTCATTTAGGGCTCGCTTTAATAACCTCACTTTATTCTGGTCAGCCCTCTCAAAGTTGGGGCACAGTGCCGAGATTCCTGGGGTCTGGCCTCTTCTGTAAACGCAGGTCCCACGGCTCTCTAGCCTGGGGCTGCAGCATGGGGCAGAGATAGAAACAGAGCTCTGCACTTATAGAACCCTAGCAGTTTGGGTTGTTGGGGACCGCCCATGTGGTTGGGATGTCAAGGGCTTTGTTCTTTTGTTTCTTTGTGGGTTTTCGAGACAGTCTCACGATGTGGCACTGGCTGGTCTGGAAGCCACTGCCATCCTCCTGCCTCGGCGCCCAAGTGCTGGAATGACAGGCAGACACTGCCTTCCAGTGTAAGGCCCTTGTTCTAAACCGGACCCATGGCTGAGACAGCGGTGGGGAAGGGTACTCAGCCAGGTGACTTCCCCTGCAGCTCCCTGCCCTCCCAGGTTCTGGCTGTGAGTGCTGGGGCCAATGGGCCCCAGATTGCGCTTCCAGCCCCCAAGAGCTTGGGAGCTGCCTGGTCCCTGTCGCTCTCCGTGGCCACATCAGGAAACCTTGGGAGGGATCCAAGTGCTCAGGTGCCCCCCTCGTAGCAGCTGTTTATCCTCCGGTCTGGCCATGGCCACCAGGACAGGACAATCTGGGGCATGGTGGCTCCAACCCATGCTCTGTGGAGTGCCCCTTCGTGGTGGGGTCCCACTTGTGATGCCCATCCTGGAGCAGCCAGCACCCCTGAGTCCACCCCACAGGCCCCTGGAGCACCAAGGTGGGGGCACTTTCCAGGGAACAAAAAGAGCTCAGGTGATAGGCACCCAGGGTGGGCCTTTCCTGCCTCAGCTTTCCACCCTGGCATGGCCTTGCGTGCTGTGGCACTGCTGGGGCTCCGGACGCCCACAGGGTCCCACAATCCCCAGGGCTGTTCTGTGAAGTCTTCCTGAGGCATGGCTCCTGCAGGCAGAGCTGGCACCAGGGGGCGCCCGGCGCACAACCAAGCGAAGCCTAGAAGTATGCTTAGCAGAGGCGACCTGCAAGGGGACTTCAGGCTGTCACAGTCTCCAGGAGGCTGCCAGACAGACTGACCTCTATCCCAGACCCCACCCTGCTGAGCACATGGAGGAGGCGAACCTGCAAAGGGTCTTGGCATCCAGTGGGTTGCAGATGCAGGCGAGATCAGTGAACCGCCAGCTGTGGGGGGAACCCCAGGCCTTTGTACTGAGTGACATCCTTAGCTCTTTTTAGTTTTCATTTTGCAACAGCATCTTGCTAAGTTTCTCAGTTGCCCAGACTGGACTAGAATTTGCAAGCTGGTGCGAGGTTTTGCTGGTTGGAAAATCCTGTTATGCACACACTTCTTTGTCACAGGTCTACTCAGATTATTTATTAAGTGAGTGTGAAACTTGTCCGTTTCAACTGCTATCTCCTTGCAAGTTAAAATTTCCATTACACATATTTAGGTGGAGTTGAGACAAGGGCTCGCTATGTACTTCAGGCTGACCTTGAACTCACTGTACATCTCCAGCTGGGCCTTAAACTCATACAGACGGCCTGCATCAGCCTCCCTAGTGCTGAGGAGGCCTGTACACCAAACCCAGCTGAAAATTTCCTTCTATAGACCCACTATTGTGTCACTGGGATAAACCCTATTCACCATAATATGTTATTCTTTTAATGAGCAAATGAATTCTGCATTTATTTTATTTAGGATATTTGTACCCATAATCCTATGCAAGATTGGTTCTAGTTCTGTTTGCTGTTTTGGTGGTGGTTGGTATTAACAGTACTTTCTTTTTTTTTTTTTTTTTTTTTTTTTTGTCTTTTTCATTTTTATTGGTGCCGGGGATCGAACTCACGACCGCCTGCATGCAAGGCAGGTGCTTATGCCACTGAGCTAAACCCCCAGCCCCTTAACAGTACTTTCTTCATGGACATGATCAGCAAGTCCTCTTTGTTCTAAGCTCTGGAATGGTTTAAGTATCCTTGAAAATATTTGTCCCTTAACATTTTTTTCTTTAAAGAATTTCCTTGTGTAAGCCTCATAGGACCTTTCCCCCTTCTGTTTCTTTACTGATAATGATATTTACATTTTCCCCCCTCTTCTTGGATCAGTTTCAGTGTATTTTACAAAAAAACTAAAATTACAATGGAAGAACGAAGATTGATAACTGGAAAGACAGTAAAAAGTGATTCTATCCAAAACTAGCATTCTTTAAATAGGGTCATGAATACATTTTGCCAATTTCTAAGTATTAGACAATTTTACTCTATTGTTTACATTTTTTGATAAAAGCAGTAGATTCCTGCCAGGCATGGTGCTACACAACTGTAATCTCAGCTCTTGGGAGGCTGAGGCAGAGGAGGATCACTGCATGTTTAAGGCCAACCCCCCCCCAAAACTAAACAACAACAACAAAAAGAAGCACTGTCGTGAAGTGTGGATCATCTCATCCTGTCTCCTTCTGCACATAAAATGCGCCCCCAGCCAGTAGGTTTCTTCAGTTTCTTAGTTGCCCAGGTTACAATTCCTGTTCCAGTTGCGGTTGCTCTTGTCTCATAGAAACAGCTGGGCACTGTGATGCACACTGTATAAACCCATCCCCTATTGACAAGCCATTCTGCCTCTGTACTTCCTGCTTGCCTATCCCATATAAGCCCAAAACTACTAGAGATTGGGACCTGATATTCTGGGAGTGACCCTAATCAGTGCCTGACCATGTAAAATAAATCTGCCTCCAAATCCTGGCTGTGGTATCCATGTCTCTGCTCACTGTTGCACTTCTGGATCTGAATTTGGTGTGGCATAACTTGCTGTGTGTCCCTGCATGCGTGTTCCCATGCACACAGGGGTACACACACAGACACAGCTGTCCCTCAGTGTCCCCTGCAGGCCCACAGTCTATGGATGCTCCAATGCCTGTGTAAAATCACAGTGTTTTAACGAGACCTCTGCACATGGCTGCAGAGTGCACATCATCTGGAGATTACTCACAACCCCCACAAACCAGGCGTGGTCCCTGCACTCCTGCCTCAACCTCTTGTCACCGATGGCCCTAGGGGAGTTGGCCTGCCTGCAGTCACAGATGTGGAATGAGAACTGAGTGGACAGAGTCTGTTCCTTCCCCTGTGATTAGAGGTGGGGTTTCCCCCCCCCCCGTTCTCATTTTCTGTAATGGAAGTGATACCCATTCTGGCACGAGTGTTGGCGAGTGGAAACTGTCACACTGGTGTGAGGGGTGCGGCCTCGCATGACCCATCTGGTGCTGTTTATACACAGCTCAAGGATCCCCTTGAACCCAGACTCCTACAGCTAAGCATCTGTGTTAGAAAGGAAAATAAAGGAGTCACACTGAGTATAATTTATAAATAGCACTGAACCAGTCAAACCCTGCCGTTAGGAGCTTATGACAAATGTGCTTGCCGTGGCACAGTGCCTGCCTGGCAAGCACAAGGTCCTCAGTTCAATTCCTGGTACCAAAAAAAGAAATAAATGAAGACTGTGCTCATTTAAAAATCTTGGGCTGGGGCCTGTATGGCAAAGTACAAAGTTGTGAGTTTAATACCCCAATACAGAAAAACCCCATCTTGGGCCAGGAATTTAGCCCAGCAGCACAAGGCCTGACTGTCAACTCAACTGAGTTCGATTCCCAGTATCAAAATAACCCCCCAAAACAAAAAAACACCCTATGTATTTGTCTGTGGTGCCAGAAACTGAACCCAGGTGCCCCGAGCATGCTAAGCAAAGGCTGTACCCGAGCCACATCCCTGGTGCTCTTTAGGCCTGAGAGGAGAGCTCTTTACACCACTCAGGCTGGCCTCAAACCTGAGATCCTCCTGCCTCAAGTTGCTGCTGCTCCCAACCAAAAGGAAATAGATTTTTTTTTGTTGTTCATTTTTCTGAGACAAGATCTTGCCATGTAGTTCAGGCTGTCCTTGAATTCACTATGAAGCCCAGGCTGGCTTCAAAGTCACAGTAATACTCCTGCCTCAGCCTCCTGAGTGCTGGCATTACAGGTCTGCACCTTCTCCCCTGGCTGCCAAAAGATATTTTTTGAAATTGAAAAAGTGATTTACAAAACAGGAGGAGCCACTGTTCTAAGTATCTGTCTCTGTCTGCCTATCATCTCTGTGCCTATAGCTAAAGTTTGAAGGCCATGTGTCAAAAAGAATGTTAAAAATTATCTGCTCGGAAGGACCCATAGGCTTACTGTTGCGTTTGCCTGTATTTTCCACAATTTACAAGATATTTCCATAACGGAAGAAGATTTTAAGTGGCATTCTGGTGACAAGGAAAGATGAGATTGAGGGATGGTGGGCCAGGTGTCCATCCTGGGACTGAACCCTGGACCCGAGTTTACCCAGCATGCTAGTGGCGGTGCCTGGTTCATGGAGCATTGTGGGTTCCTTGGCACTCAGGGCTCTCGCAGGGAATGTGCCTCAGGTCAGAAAGAAGAAAGAGAAAAAGAGAGAAGGGGGAGTAAGGGGAGGGGTTGTCTGTGTTTCCCAGTGGCCGCAGGCCAAGCTTGGCAGCCCAGGCAGGAATGAATCCTCAGTCCGAAGAGATGAGGCTTTTGAGGAGGGGTGCGGGGCTTGTGGCCCCCTGCCACCATTTCCATCTTTCTTTCTTTCCTCCTTCCCTTCCCTCTATCGCTGTCTATTTTTCTCCTGCTCCTTGTGAACCCAGGCTGCCGCACCACGGAGCTACAGCCCCAGCCTTTCTGATTATATTTTTTATTTTGAGACAGGCTCTTGCTAAATTGCCCTGATAGGACTTGAACTTGTGATCTTCCTGCCTCAGCCTCCATCAGTGCTGGATCACAGGCTTGGGCTTTCAGCCCTCCTGAGAAGTAGGCGCGAACAGGTGTCCTGCTAGCTCCTTCTCCCAAGAGAAGGAGCAGAGCACCCTGGGCCTTGTCCAGGGACAGGCAGGAGCCAGCAGAGGTGGCTGCAGCGGAACTGGGCAGGGAGGAGGGGTCCCACAGGGGATGTTACCCCACAGCCCTGCAGAGCCACCAGCCAAAGCCACCCTTCTTCTTCTCCTCCCCTCCTCTCTCTCCCTTCCCCTCTTCTTCCTGTCCTTCTCCTCCTCTCCCTCCTCCTCCTCAGCCCCCAGTTCCTGATTATTCTCTTGCTCTGGGCCAGAGAGACCTGGCGCCAGCACCCACATGGGGACACCTGGTCAGTGCTGTCACCTATCTGTGCCTCGTGTCCCCACCAGTGAAATGGGTCTGCGAAGAAGTCTGGCAGGCAGAAATGGTGAGGTGTGCAGCTAGGGGTGACGCCCGTCCCTCTCACCCGCCTTGCTCTCTCCTGCCTGGCTGCCTTATTGGGTGGCCTCCCTGAAAGCTCCAGCTGGCATAGCCACCTCCTCCTCTGCTGCTTCTGCCAGCCTGGCTAAGCTCCTGAGTGTTTTGTTTTATACTGGGGACTGAACAAAGGACCTTGCCTTTATCCACATCCCTAGCATTTTCTATTTCTCATCTCCTGATAGTCTCACTGAATTTCTAAATTGCCTGGGCTGGGTTCAGATTTGGTATCCTCCTGTTTCAGCCTTGGGATGACACTGTGTGCCAGCCACCTGCTTGGAATTGCTTCTGGTACAGGGAGGGTGATAGGTGACGACCTGAGTAGCCTCCTTGGGCAGTGGCTTGTACTTGGTGGGCAGTGTGGGGCTGCAGGTGCCATCATAGGAGGTACCCTGATGCCGACTGCCTGCCCTGTGGTTGGGAGGCAGCCCTGAGGCCTCCTCCTGGGGAGGGGCTCTGTTGGGGGGCCATGACCAGGCAGGGGCTATGGCTGGGTTGCAGTCAGTATTGCAGGCTGTGCAGCATACAGCTCTGTAGTGTCCATTGTTTTTTTTTGTGAGACAGGGTCTCACTGTGTAGCCCAGGCTGGCCTTGAACTCACAGCCACTCTCCTGCCTCAGCATCCCAAGTGCTGGGATCACAGGTGTGAGCCACCATTCCCTGTCTTGAATGCCTAGAACTGTGCTGGGCCGTGGGTTTCCTCCCCGTGCAGGCATCCGAGGGACCACTGTGCCCCTCACACCAGAGAGCAGGGGACAGTCTGAGGGTTCCGCCCACTCCTTAGCATCCTGGGCCCTCCCCTCTGGAAGAAGGCCTTGAAGAAGCCTAAACTCTGTCCCTGGGTGTCCCTGGGTGGTGACTCACACTGTCACCTCCCCCAGGCACAGTTATCAGAGAGGAAAAAATGCACTCAGCCCCCTTGCCTGTGTCTGCCTGGGCCTCCCCACTTCCTGCTGGGGGTCTGGGGTATGGAGTGACCTGACCTGAGGGGGTGTTTCCAGCCATGCTGACACAGAGGTCACCTCGATTTCCTGTTTGGAAACCTGCCTTCTCCAGGGAACTCTGCCCCCTGTGCAGGCTCCATGGCCCAGGCATCACAGGGAGTTCCTGGAAGCCAGATCCCTGGCAGCCCTGGTCTCCACCATGCTCTGTAAACACTCTGGGTCAAGCTGGGCCTCTCTACTCAAGTCCTGGGGATAAACTGCTAGAAGGGAAAAGTAGTACTATGAATAAACACTTACCAGCTTTCTGGGGGAATTGTGGTCACCTCACTTCCAGTGGTGAGGCCAGGTACAGCACTAACTTTCTACCTTGTGACTGCACCCCAAACCCACTCATCCCCTCTGGTCCGGCTGCTCACCATTATTGTATCCCAGCATTGTATATTATAACCCTTGAAAATATCATAATCTCTTTTTCCATTCACCTTGAAGTTCAGAAAGTTATATTTGTAATTCCATTGATACTTTATTGCAATTCCAAAGAATTAATTCCAATCTACCACTTCCAGTGCAACCCAGTGAGAATAAAGACACTAAGACATATTTACAGTTAGGGGCAGCCGAGGGGGCCTGAGTCTAGTCCAGGTGAGGACACATGGAATGAAGGCCCTGATCCAAGGCCTCTCCCACAATTTATTACCTGGTAAAAAAGGGAGTGGTTCAAGGATGAGTGACAGAGAGGATGGTGGGAATTACGTGAGCAAGGTGAGCTGAGCTGGCCAGATGGAGAGCAAATGAGCACCTTGAAATCTGCAGGGAGAAAGATATGCAGAAAGACCAAGCTGCATAACCCAATTGAGATAGCATGTGAGTGAATTTAGGAGGATGCTGCTTCAGTTTCTAATATGGACTTTTCTACTCTGGGAAGTCATAGCCTCTTATTTTGAGGCTCATACCCAGCTGACATCCCTGGAGCTGCCTGGTTCTGCCATCCCGCTGGGTTCAAATAATTATAAGAAACATGATGTGAGGAGACAGGAAATTGCAGCTGCTACTGAGGATTACATATCAGTACCTCAGCCAGCCCTATCTGCATTGCTTAAAGCCCTTCAAGTGGCTTGACGATGATCTTTGAAGCTAAGTGACAGGCCTGTTTCCCTGTCTCACTGTCTCCCTCTAAATGGTTGAGCTCAGTAGGATGCAGAGCCACACAGCTCCAGGGCTGTCAACTGGATTTCAAGCCTGGAGAAAGAGGCTACAATTTCCCAGGGCAGAAGAAGTTTGCACATCAGAAACTGAAGCACCATCCCTTAAACATTAAGTGCTACCTCAGTTGTGTGATGCAGATTGATCTTCCTGAATATCCTCCTCTCTGCATACTGCAGAGATATTTTCTGACCTCCTAGCTAGCTCAGCTCACAGTACTCACCTAATTTCTGCCATTCTTACAGTCACTTGTCCTTCATCCACTCTGTTCTTCACAAATTAATAAAATCTGGGTTAGGCTCTGGGTTGTGGCTTTTGTTCCAATAAGCCTCCATCTTTGCTGGACTAAAGACCCCTTGGTTTGGTTGCCTGTGATTACAAATATGTTTTAGTGTCTTATTTGCACCGTGGGTTGTACTGGAGGTGGTAGACTGGAATTAACTCACCAGGATTTCAATTCCGTGGGATTACAAATATCAACTTTCTGACCTCAATGAGAATGGGAAAGGGGGCTGTACAGTTCCTAGCCTTGCCCAGGGCATGGGACCCTGTCAGGCTAAAACACTGTCAGTCTCTCCACAGCTTTGGATGTCCTTGGGCTCAGATGGAGATGGACAAGGGGGAGAGTGGGGCAGGAGAGGGAGAAGGAGGGGACAGGACCTCCAGGCCCCAGTGAGAAGTTGAGAAGACCCCCCCCCACCCCCATTCTGGATCAGCAGGAAAATCTCACCTTTCTTGGGGCAAGGTCCTGGTCTCTACCACTGCTCTCTTGCTGGGCACCTATGAGTTCTCCATCCAGCTCATTTGCTGCACCTTGCACCCCCTGAAGGACACAGCTGGACTCCTCCTTCAGGAAGGCCTCATGGTTTTGTAGCTCTAAGGACTGAGAGGTAGATTCATGGGGTCCCTGAGCCCCAAGCCCACTCTGCGCCTGGCACCTTGGCCCTCTCCTGCCCCAAGTCTGCCTTGCCACACCGGTGGATGGAAGATAATCTCAGTGAGAGCTGTGGCTTGGTTTCTGGAACCCTCTGAGGCTGCTGCCCCCACGCTCATGTATTCAAGCAGCCTGAAGACACCAGTGACCCCGTTTCCCAAGCTGCACTCCCTCCCTTTCTTTTGCCATTTTTGGATTCTGTGACTTTCAACTCATTTTTCCCCTGTGAGTTTCCGTGACGAGCACTCGTCAGGTCTGATTTTCCCAATTCCAGTTGTCACGGCCTCTGGGGGTGGTGGGCGGGGACAGGCCATCCCAGCCCCCCCTGGCCGGGTCTGTTCTGTGCCAGGGCCTCCCTGGGAATTTCACAGGACTGCAGTCCGCTTCCAGTTCTGGACAGGGTGAGGGGGGGGGGTGTTGTGCCATGGGCGAGGGACTGGATGACTGGAGCTAGAGGTTCCCGAGATGAGAACAGGGATTTCAGGGAGAGCTTGTGTCCTCCTCCCATCCCCCAGTGACAGATTATATCTGCCCAGGCCAAAAAAACCCACCACAACAACCTCCCCCACCCAAAAAAAAAAAAAAAAAAACCCACAAAAAAACATGGTTCCTTGGTTTGAGAGCAGCTTTTTAATCACGACTACTCATCCACAAACACGTCTACGGGGTATGAGGTCTGGGCTGGGGCGCGGAGCACAGTGGTGGGCAGCAGCACACAGGGACAGGATGGGGTTCTGAGCCAGGGTGGCCAGTGGACGTCACCTGGGGCGGCTGGGCAGGCCCACGCCCATCCTCCTGGCTACACGATGCTCTCGGCGCGCTTGCTCCTCCACACCACCAGCGCCGTCACCAGCAGGGTCACCGTGATGGGGAGCACGACGAAGGGGCAGAGGATGGTGCTGGGTGGGTCCCCCAGTGCACGGCCAGAGGCAGGGCAGCTGCGGAAGTAGTGCCGGTGCACGGCCACGAAGAACCTGTCCACCTCCACATTGGGCCAGAAGCAGCCCAGCCGCTCGGCCAGGTTCCGGGTGCAGTCGGTGAGCTCCCCATAGCTCCTGTGGGGGCAGAAGGGAGCATCAGGGACCCTGCAGGGCACAACCTGTCCCCCTAGAGCCAGGAAGAGGGCGGAGTCTGTGCCCCCTGCCCTCCCGTGTCCTGCACCCTTGGACACCTGCAGGCCTAAGGGTCAGGAGCTCCAGGAGGGGACAGAGCCAGGGGCCCCGGCTGTGCCCTGTTCTTGCTGTGTCCCTGACGTAGGTGACAGTGGGCAGCCCCAGGTCCCTCCCCACAGACTCTCCTGGGCCATCCCCAGGGGACAGGTGACTGTCGGGGCAGGCAGTGCTGAGCGTTGGGGGGGGGGGCCCGTGTGGGTCCATGCTGTCCCGTGGGTGTCCAATTCTGTGTCACTCTTTGCGTGGTGACTGTCTGACATGTGTGTGACCCTGTCTTCAGGAGTGGCTGGAGTTTTACCCATAGGTCACTGCACTGGGGCCACCAGCGGGGCAGCAGGTCAGGTACTGTGCTGACCAGCGGGTCTGTGGGAGAAGGGTTCCTGGAGACGCCAGGATGGCAAGCTCCCCAGCTGGCAGAGGGTCTGTCCCAGGACTCCCAGTTCTTGGCCCAGGGTATAAGTGGGCCAGAGAAGCGGGTGCCCCCCTCAGCGGCCTTTCTTGTCCCTCAGGCACTGGGCTTGACTCCCTTCCCAAGGCGGAACGAGTCCCAGGCAGTCCTGCACATGGCCCTGCTCACCCTTTCCAGGCAAGGATGTGGGAATCTGGTGTCCCCATAGCACAGAGGACACTGAACCTGGGATGCCTGGCTCTGTTGGTGCCAAACACGTCCCTCTGGACCTCTTACTGGATGTGACAGCTGTGGACTCAGGACAGAGGGCCTTCATGGGGTGGGAGGCAGGGCCTATTTTCAGGGCCCGATGGCTGTATAGGAGTCTTAGAGGCACTTCACCAGTGTCCCTGGTTCTTTTCTCTTTTTGTTTTTTGGGACAGGTCTCATCATGTTATCCAGGCTGGTCCTGGATAACACAGCGACCATCCAGTCTCAGCCTCCACAGCTGCGATTCATGGCATACACCACCATGCTGGGCTGTCACTGATGGTGGTGTGCCTGGCCCAGGATTCTGGGGTATGGCTGTGACTTTCCGGGAAAGCTGCAGGGTTGAGGGGCTGGGGTGCATGCCATGGTCCCCACAGGCCCTTGACCTCCCTGCACCCAGCTCCTAGACCTCCCTGCCTGGACAGCCTGTGCTCCTCTAGGGCACTGGGTCCCCCTCACACCTACTACAGGACTGGTGTGCACCTGGAAGGGCACAAGTGCGCCCTGGCGGTCGTGAGGTAACTCTTGCTGGGTTTTGCCAAGTCCCCAAGTCCCTGGGTCCTCACAGTCCCCTGGCCTGTGGGGCATCCACAACAGCAGCCCCTCCTGCTTCATCACAGGCAGGCCCAGGTCTGAGCATCATATGTCCTGAGGCTGGGGGTGGGTGCCATATGGTGTCCTCACATGCACCTAACCCTGCTGAGTGGGGTGTACGTGACTCTGGGAGGCTGGCATCCTGCATCCCGGCCACCATGCAGGCTCTCTGCTAACCTGAGCCAAGGACTATGTCGTTTCCAGAAGGGGACCTGGGGAACTTTCCAGAAATGGGAACATACGGTGGCACATGATTGTTATCCTGGCACTCGGGAGGCTGAGGCAGAACGATTGATGTGAGTTCCAAGCCAGCCTGGGTTATTCAGAAAGACTGTGTGTGTGTGTGTGTGACTGTGTGGTGTGGCCTTGGGCTCTGTCCCTGGCACCACAAAGAATCAAGGTGAATCAGCACAGCCTCCATGAGGCTCCCACCAAAAAAAAAAAAAAAACACCCCTGAAATGCTTGCTGAGACGCTCCATCACGTACCCATCTCATCCTGATGGATGAGAACAGAGACCGGCAGCGGCAAACAACCACAAAAGACATGGCGAGGCCGAACCACTAGGAAACCAATGAAGCCTCTAGAAGTCACTCGGGAAAGAAAAAGACCCACACAACAAAGGCTGTGGAATAACAGTGGCTTCTGACTGAAGACCAGGGAGCCGGTGAGGTCCCACACTTCGGCAGGCAGCCTGGAATCCAGGGCCACCACACGGAGTACCAAGACAAGATCTCCACAGAAAAAAGCAGCAGGGTGATCGACTGGCCAGCAGATGTGTGCTGCAGGGGTGTCAAAGATCTCCACCCAGAACAAGGGTCCTGGAGGAATCTCTTTTTCTGAGATAGCTGTGTAGCCCAGGCCAGCCTGGGACTTGTGGGGCCCTCCTGCCTCAGCCTCCCAAGTGCTGGAATTACAGGTGTGAGCCTCACACCCAGCTTCCAGGAAAAATTTTGGGCCCAGAGAATGAAGAGCTCCAGAAATAGTAAACAAGGAAGACAGTCAAAAGATGTGTCTTTACTTTTTTACCTAAATGGAGCAACAGCCATAAATCAACTGTGCACACACCTACCAAGGTCTTGTCCGTGGCCACGTGCCTGTAACACACAGGACAGCACAGGGCTGTGGCTGCCCCCATGCTCGCAAGGCCTGGCCCGCATGTCCTCCCCCAGAGAGCAGAAGTGGAAGAAACCAGCGGGGGGGGGGGGGGGGGCCGGGGGGGGGGAGCGGGGACTGGCCGGCCGGCGCCAGGACCCATACGCGCAGAGCAGCGGCCCCTGGTGGTCGGTTGGGGCACAGCACTGGTTGGAACGACTCCGCCCGCTGGGACCCGCTGCACCCATGGGCTGAGATGTCTTTGGGAGAGGTTCCAGGTCCCAGCTGGCCGCCGTCACCACTGTCCCCAGGCTGGGCCCCACGGAGGCGCCTTGGTATGCGGGCTTCTAGGTGGCCGCCAGCATCGTCTAAAAATAGCCCAGTGTAGTTGCTGCTGACGACACTGACAGCTGAGGCCTTGGCGCTGGGGGAGGAGGAGGTGACATGGCTCCCCACCGGGGTGGGGCAGCAGCAGCCCTGGCTGGGGACCCAAAATAGCCCTGGACGCTCAGTTCCGGGCAGCCCGCTCACCACCTTCTCGGCCAGGACTTTCTGCCCTGCACCCATATCTGCGGCAGGCACGGGCTCCAGACTCACGGCTTCCTTGAGTCTGACCCCGGCCTGCACCCACTTTGCCCCAGTGGCGAGGGGCCTCCCGTGCCTGTTGGCACCTCGGTCTCCTTACATGACAGTAAAGCGACAAGTGCCCCACAGAGAACAGGGTGGACCATGATCAGCCAGATGAAGGGCCTGGCACAGAACTGGCACCCAGTTAAGTATGCTGGCCCATGCCTGTAATCCCAGCACCCCTCAAGGGGCTGACACAGGAGGACTGCAGGGAGTCTGAGGCCAGCCTGGGCTGCAGAGTCAGATCCTACTTCAGAAAAACCAAACCAAACAAACAGAAAAATCAGGCAATCCACCCCGGAAGTTTCCTCTTCACTCTCCCAGCAGGCCAGTGGGGCTCCCGTGGGCACACATTCCGGTCCTGTAAGTCAGCATCGCCCAGGCAGCGTGTCCACATCCGCAGATCTAGGGAGGAACTGCTTTGGGTTGGGCCCAGCTCTCTGAGCGCCTCTCTCTGCCACAGCCAGGTCACAGCCTGCTGGCTTCCGGCAGCATCTGGCACGGCCAGGGGACCCACCTGCCTGCCAGGCTGCCAAGTGCCATGGCCCAGAGGGGAAGTTTGGCCACACTTGGGAGCCTCGGGCCCAGGGCTCTGTATCCTCCGGACACAGCATCCATAGCCAGGGCCAAGCCTCGAGGATGAGCATTGAGAAGGCAGGAAAATGGTTAAGTGAGCAGATGCCCGCCTGGCCCTGCACTGGTGCTGTCCACTATGGCAGTCAGGAAAACACTTTGGAAGCCACACCCTGGAGACCCCTCTGGTCTCGTGACTCTGTTTCTGGGAACTGTCCTGTTACAAGCTCTGCACACAGCCTGGCGTATATGCGCACCTGTCATCCCAGCACTCTAGGAGGCTGAGGCAGGAGGATGGCAGCCTGAGCCTGGACAGTGACCCAGTGAGACCCTCACTCAAAATAAAAAACAGAAAAGGGCTGGGATGCAGCTCAGTGTGAAGGCCCTGGCTCTGATGCCCAATACTGGAAAGAAAGTGAAACACGGACAAAAGTCCTGACAGAAGGCACTGATTGCAGGGAAGACCGTGAAAGACGGCAGACACTGGGACTCTGGAAAGGCTTTGTAAGTGGTGCCACTGCGCAGCCTGTGAGGTGATATTAGAAGAAATTTAGGCCATTGGTTGATACTCAGCTAGGAACTTGAAGGAAATCGGCAGCCAGGAGGCCCAGTTACAGACACCTGAGGCTTGAGGGGGGCTGAAGGGAAGAGACTGATGATAGGATGAGGGGTGCGGTGACAGGGGTGCAGTGGGAGAGGCTGGCTGGGAGGAACAGGCTGTGGCCCATCTACTTTTGTTATGGATTTGTCAAGCTTTTTACAGTGAGCATTCGCTGTCTTCATAATTCTATAAGAAAGCTCATTTAGGGCTGGGCATGGTGGTGCACACTTGTAATCCCGGAACTCAGGAGGCTGAGACAAGGAGATCCAGCCTGGGCTGCACAGGCATACCCTGTCTCTAAATAAATAGATAGCATTTTAAAACCCCCATTTTAGGAAGACCCTGCAAGAAGGTGCCGAGTCACACCCCATCCCTCCCTGCTCCTGGGCGACCCCCCCAGGAGAGTAGGACCCCCTCCCTGGCTCCCCATCTTCCTGCATCCCAAGCCCTGCTTGGAGAGGGCACTTCCTGCCTTTTCCCAGAGCAGCACAAAATGGGAATGGAAACTTCTACAAGGAACCGATTCTGAGGCTGCCCTGCAGGACTCATCATCTCCTTCAAAAGCCCCAGAGTCTCAGGAGGCTGCTAAGAAATTCCCAGAGCAGAGCCCAGAGTGGATGCTCTTGGACTAGAGTGATAAAAGCTAAAGAAGTAGTAAGAGATGAGTAATGAAAAAAATAGAATCCCTAGAAATGCAAGATCACATATAATGTGGGGAATCCCTAAGAATGTGATT